CACCGCCATATGCTATGTCTTTTGTGCATGTGGTGAGTAGTGGAGCAGGCCCCACTGGACGTATTCGTAAGAAAACAAAAACAAAAAAACGAGAGAGCCACGGGCATCTTCATCCTAACCCATTTATGAAATCACTACAAAAGTACGATAATTCTGTTTTACTCGCTTGAATCAAAGTCTGTATTTTGTTTTGAGAAGCTTTGCATACCTCATTCAATTGAATGTCTAATTCAGGCAGAATAATTTGACTGAACATTTTGGCATCTCGTTTGATGAAAAATGCTATCAAGTCCAAAAACTTTTGATCTTGAATTCGTGATAACAAGGCGCCGCTTATACACTGAGCTTCGCCCTTCACTAACCATTTTGTGTTTTTCCAATTTCGTACTTTGCGCAATGCTTTATGAGGCCCAGTAGAAGAGGGCAATTCATAGATAGCATCCACAATCATTTCTAACTGCCGACATGCGGACCTGAACGCCAATCTTCAGCATATATTGGTGGTCGGCTGGCAGTAGAACATTCAATGTGCGACTTCTGCGAAGCTTCGCGGGGCATGTCGTTATTAGGCGACTACCCCTTCTTGCGAACTGACCCCACTACTGTGTGGGATTTGCAGAAGGCAGCGGGAAGGACATCTCTCATACCCTGCCTAAAACAAAAGTTGGAATGAGCACTATTTTGTGCCTCACCATTCGAAACTTTTTGGGGAAGGGCCTGCGAAAATTGAAGTTTCAGCAGCCCTTACCCAAAAGAAAAGTTCGGGCCGTGGGCGCGGCCGGTTTGTGAACTTGCGCGGTGAGTTTAACATTTTTGCCGAGTTGGGGGCCCTAAGAACTTAGAAAACCCCTACTTTTTTTTTTTTTTTTTTTTTGGGACCTAATTTTTCAAGTGCGCTGCGCTTCGGTGCGCTGTGCGGTGCGCGGCGCGACGTGCGCAAACCGTGCGCAAACCGGCGCACCGATGTGCGCCGCAACTATGCTGCAGAGTGTTTGTGTCACATTCTAGGGAGTGTGTGGGTGCACGTCTGGTCTCTTGTCTGTGAACATATGGATGTCAGTTGTTGCCCCATTTACAGGAGATGGGCGTGAGAGAGGTGGTGTGCATGCCTCTAGTCTAGTTTCTCCTCTAATTTACTCTCTTCTTGAGCGATAAACAAGATCCCAGATGGGCGATGTGTGGTACCTGAACGTCCATGGATTCTAATCATCCTTAATGTAGAACTGCCTTGCTTGTCAGTGGGGCGAGTTACCTGTGCGGTGTTGCATATGGTGTTTAAACCGCCAGTACACGGCCCCAGCCTTGCGGAAAAAGACACTGGTCACCTACAAAAATTCTGGAGGCTCGGCCTACCGGACCACAATGGCTGGCTGCGCCAGCCAAAAAAGGAAAAAAGTGTGGCACTGGCGGCTCGGAAAAGTTTGGCGCGCAGTAAGGCACCTGCAGGCCCGGGTGTACTGGTGGTTTAAGGCTCACAAACCCACATTGGGTTTCATTCCTGCATTTCCTTCTGGCGATATGGGCCATGTATCATTTTAGCGACGGTCTGGAAAAGCAAGCTGTCACAGGCCCCTTTCCATTGAACCACTTAGGCCAGGCCCCACCGGTTCTATGTGGATGCCATGAAAGCAGAAACAATGCTTCGGTCATGTTACAAGCATGAACGTAGCACCACTGCGGCCTGACCCTTGGATGGTTCACCGAATGCGGTCAGCCTGTGGAGGTGGATGCGGTCAAGACCGTACTGGCTGCTGGGTACCTCATGGTTGTTACATGAACGTATCGAGAATGTTTCTGGCAGGGGAGGGTGTTGACGGAACTTTATTTTGGGTTTTCCTGAAGTCATATTCTTTTGAGTCTTGGGTGGGTGATTTGATGGGCTGCATTTATTTTAGTCCTCGGTATCAGTGAACCCCTAAGGGTTACACTTCGTCGATGTTGGGGTATCGGTAGTCGGGGCTGGGTGCACATGTTGCAACTGGGATTTTGAGGTAACTGATTGACAATGTCGTCTGTTGGAGGGGGATTCTGCAGAGCTGTCGAGGGTTCAGCCTCCTGATGAGTCGGTGAGAGTCCGATGAAACAGTGTTACAGCCCCTATTTCTGACTAGCAGCTTTTCTGAAGTCAGGCTCACAGCAAGTTGCAAGCGACACGGTGGTTTGATTTATCGCATCCCCTTTAGCTGTCTCCTGACCGCACTGTCTCAGGCATGGAAAATCCCTGGCAGTAAGACTGAGAAGTGCCTGTCCTTCGTGGCCTGCTTTGCATGGCTGCGTTTTTCTGTTTCTGGTTTCTTGGTCTCCCCAGTCCCCTCTTCCACAATTCCATGACCTCTTTGAGCCCAATAACTCTGGTAGCCTCTTTGGGTGTTGCCTTGATTCACTTCCTTTCCAGGTCCCTCTGCCTGTGGTCATCGATCACAAGGCCATCGTCTCATATCCTTGTGTTTTCTTAGTTCGGGTCACTTTGTGACGCTGGAGCGAAGATGGGGTTACTATAAGTACGTATGCCTCTTCTCTCTTTCCTGGTATTACCTCCAACCGGCCACATTTTTTGGCTGCCAGACAAGCAGATAGGCAGAGAAATGCTGTCGCTTCACATGGTATGTGACAAGACGGACATATCGATGGTAGGGCACCACATGCTGGGCTCAATCCTATTGGGCAGGGCGATAAACGAGTACAGTAAGACATCGAACAATACACAAAATGCATAGACACCCAACAATGGACGGCAAATCCAGACACAGTAAGATGGAGGCCTGGGGCACAAAGTATCGGGACGGAGGCATACACAGAAGGATCCTCCCTGCTCAATCATATACACAGATGACGTGAGGTGAAGGAGTGAGTAAGAAGCACTGACGACTTGGCAATTCTGATAAATAATCCCCTTCTACGGACAAGCCTTCCTATCACCAGGGGGGAATAATCCTCCCCCAAAAATCTACAAGAAGTGAATCTCTCGCCCTCGTTATCTCCCTCAAAGACGTGGAGAGTAGTAGTACCAGGAGAAGAACTCTTTAACTCTGTCTCCGTCTCTGATGAATCACGTGCAGCTGGTTGCTCCACGAGGAGGCCAGCTATGGCACCGGTAGGTTAGTTGTTCTCCACCTGTCTAGACCTCCCGTTCCGCTGTTCCAAGTCTGGTGTTCGCACACGGACCAGTCAGCCGCACGGTTCCAAATTCACCAACTGGAATGGGTCTGGCTCAACTACCAAATAGCGCTGGGCCAACCCAGCTCCTGTCCAGCCTGCATCCTGGAAAATATGAAAAATATAAAGTCTTTAAAACCCTAGGTGGCTGAGGTGTGGCCTTGGCAGCCAAAAGCAATGTTCATCCGCCTGATCTGGATTCGCACTTAGGGGAATGTTAGGAGGCAAGGGGTGTGTTGAGAAGAGGTTGACTTTGCCTTGAAACGGTATTCACCAGTTCGCGGTAGCGAATGCAGATCCCAGGGCTCGATCCCTAGATCCCCGTCTTACCTGTGTACAGTATCAGTGTCAACCCGTAGACTTGAACCTGCGACCTGTAGGAATGCCAGTGGTAGGCAATTTGTCGTAGGTCACAGGGTAGAAGGGAATCGAACTGTAGACCTATAGATTAGGAGTCTAGACAGTTCCGAAGTGGTAGCTGTAGGCTGCTTGAGGAGTGAAGGTCGTAGCTGCTACTTACCTGAAAGGGCAAAGTCGTAGCTGCTACAGTACCGAAGGGCCAACATAGAGGTTTCTAGAACTGGCCTTTCGGAGTTRGCCTGTGTTCAGCAGAGGCAAGTGGTCAAGTGGTGGTAGTCCACCTAGCCCAGTCAGCAGTCCCAGGTAGCCCAGTCCGGTCCAGTCAAGCAAGTACCGTCTGGGACTGTGCACATCATGGGCCAAGGGGTAGAGGGCAGACCAACGCAGCGCAGAAGTATAAATCAAGAGGCTGCGTCCAGCCATTCATTCATTCCTGTGGATGCCATGCGGAAGTGCTGCCTCAGCAGCTTGTGCGAGGAGGTCTGCAGTGTGCCCGAAGACGAAGTGGGCAGAGAAGTGTAGTGTAGCGACAGGGTAGTGGCAGCTAGCGTTGCCATAGCCATAGCCTAGTGTGTGTGTGTTGTGTATGAACACTGAGTGTTGCGTGTGGGACATCCAGGGTGATCCAGAGTGCGAACAGTGAGTTGTGTGGGCGCTCAGTCGCCATAGCCAGTTTGAAGAGAACTCCTACCTGGTTACGATATCTTTGAGTACTGTGTGGGCGCATGTCGCCAGTTTGCTGTTTCGCTGTTTGCATGCATGATAAGTGTGAAGAAGTCGAGTATGATTGCAGCCTGGAGGATGTACTTAGAGAGGGTTGAGGTGCATAGTCCGTGTTGAGGGTACCCATGCATGTGGGTGTCATAAGGGTGGCTATCAGGAATATTCAAACACCGAACGGTAAGGGTGGGGTGGCAAGGGTATTGTTTCTGTTTGCCCTTTTTCTCTGCTCGTCTCTTGCTCGCACTCTCTCCTTGGCTATTTGTGGCTCTGTATGCCTCTGTTTCTTTCATTTTGGAGGGCTCTGTGTCTCTGCCCTCAGTCCTCTCTCTCTCTCTCTCTGTGTCCTCCCCTCCATCTCTCTCTTCGTTTTTCCATTCTTTCATCTTGCTGCCTGGCTCGCTCTTTCTTGCTCTTTTCGCCGCTCTGCCATGTCTGCGCCGTTGTCTGTCCTTCTGCTCGCCTGCATGTATGTTTCTCCCTCTGTCTGTCTGTGCATCTATGTGTGCGCGTGAGTGTGTGTGCTTGTTTCTTGTGTGGGTCTGTGTGGTGTGAGTGTGAGCGTGTGTGTGCTCGCGTGCGCACAAATTTACAGCAATCTGTGGCTGACACATACGGTTTCGTCGGGATTTCACCGTCTAATGAGGATACGGAAGTGAGACAGTCTGGTCTGGATGCGTTTGACTAATGGATAAGGGTGCGCTGCCTGGCCCAAAGTTGGTAAGTACGCTTAGTCAAATGCACCGAGACCAGCCGGCAAAAAGTGGTTGACTTCACTTTTACCCGAACCCTGCAATCCTTGCAGACTGTCAAGTTCACACCTCGAACGATAATGGCAGAAAGTCCGGCAAACCAGTTCATCATGGGCACAAGACCCGCGTTACACATCAACTCGGGGAGGGACAACTGCTGGCTTGGTTGCTAGTATGACACGGTCATATCCGGATCAATCTGCGAAACGGAGTGCTAACAAGATCCTAAGTGTGCTGTGTATTCGCAAAGGACAACTCTTCAAAGAAAGGTTGATTGTCACAGACTGTTTGGTCAGGCTTTCATCTGCTTGTTAGGAGGCTGAATCACGACAGTGCATCTGATGCTTTCGATTGATGGGTAAGGGATCACCACCTTGCCCAACGCTCACATCACGTTTGAGAAAAGCGGTCGACTTTCATGAACCACTGCCCACTGCAATCCTTGAAGACTTTCTAGTTCAAAACCTTGACAATAACACCAGTAAGTTTAGAAAAGTAGTCCATTACAGTCATAAAACCCACCCTCTGTGTGTTTGTGCGTGTGTTTGTTCGCACATGCTCGTGTGTGTACGTGGGATGTGTGTGTGTTTTCATATTCGCTACACGTAACTCCACAAAAAAGCATGACTCTGTGTGTGTGTGTGTGTGTGTGGGTGGGTGCGCGTTTGGGGATGTGGGATCTCTGAATCCATTTGAAGAACCTTAATGGGTGGTGGGTGGTAAGTGAGTAGTTCATGAACTGAAGATCGTGGTCATGTTCTGTTTGTGGTGGCCTGACCACAGGAGAGCAGCTCTGTACTGCAGTAACCCCTCCTGCCCGCCAGCAGTTATTCAAAGCTCGCAGGATTGCAGCATGGATGTAGATTCACCATTCACTCTCCAGGTAATCGTGTTTGAGTGACTCGTCCTTTGATGAGAATTTTGGTTCTGATCCTGTGCGTTGGGGGCTTGGATCTCGCTTTGGCTAGCCATGTATCAACCTACAAACTGCAAAAGACCCCCGTTCTCCTTTATGGGGGTGGGAAAATGTTATAACGGAGTGAGAGGAACTAAAGGAGCAAACAGTGCTTGCGCTGGGATGGGAGGTCGCATCATTGGGCATTTAAAGGGTCGGGAAGATTGCTTTGCTCTCACAAGGTTTTGACTTTGAGTATGACTATGGAATCTATGGAGACCCGAGGGCTTACTCACACTAGGACTTTTTCAACCTGTATGTGGACGTAATTGCCGTCAGGTGCATTCAGAGGCGGTTCGTTTGGCAAAATGAATGGAGAAGGGGGTACTATATAGCAGAACTTTCACCGCTTGCAACGGGATATGGTTGACGAACTTTCACCGATTGCAACCGAATATGGTCGGTTACTATGCAGAGGAATTTCGGCAAAGTTACTATACAGAGAACTTTCATAGATTGCACGTGAATACAGACTGTCTGCAGAATAGCGCAAAGGTGTGCTGAGGGCATACTCACACTAGGACTTTTTGACCCGTATCTGGACGTGATTGCGGTCAGGTGCATCTACGCTTGGCCGTAAAACTGGTCAGACAGCAAGGAAAGTCCTCATGTGAGTGTTCCCTGACTGTATTCCATGGATTTTTTTTTTTTTTTTTTAACTGTATTCTGTGGATTATTCAGCATGGATTCCCTGTTTTTTTGTTTGAAGAAAAAGCCTTCTGGGTCTGCTGTGGGGAGTGATATGAACACCTCCCCCCAGCAGACCAGACCGGTTGCTCTGATCTAATGGTGGGGAGCGTCACCTGTTGGAAACCGGGTCCAGTGTCCTTTGTATAACCATTGTTTAGGGATCGTTCATTCAATTGTTTTCGACTACGAGTCGTGTCCAGCATGGATTCAGGGAGAATGAATACAGATTTTGGTTTTCCGGGGTAAGGGGAATTGGGGGAAGTGGGGGAACAAGGAAGGGGAGAAGAAAGGAGGAGGTTGAATGTGGGACTGGTTTGTTGATCTGGAATGACAATATACGATTTCGATGTCAGTGTTGGGGTGGGAGATGGTAGTGGCTCCTCGATCAAGAATGAAAAAATTAGAGCTAACTAGGGCGCAGTCACAATTTTCAGTTTAAAATACACTTCAGGCATCCCTCGAATACAACACATCCCCACCCGACCCTAAAGCTTTTTTTTTTTTTTTTTTTTTAACACGATCCTAAAGCAAGGCCGTATACATACACGATTTTCCTCGCTTTGGCACAACAATGGTGAAATCGTGACTGAAGCGCATTTTCAAACTGAAACCGTGGCTGCGCCCTAGTTTTCCCATGAAATTAAGGTGTTCTGGTGTCACTGTGAGTTATCCCCAGCTCTAAAGGAAATGCTACTAAATAAAAGTTTCACCCGGCTGTTGGGGGCCTGAATGAGTCGGTCAGTCAGTCAGCCAGTACTTTTTCCGGCTCTGGACATCCTCCGTGCATGCACGGATTCGAACCGGCACCCTCAGCCTCAAGAGCCGAGTTTCTTAACCACTACAGCATGGGACAGTGTACAAAAGTGGAACCATACTGGGATGAGGGAGCTCAATGCAATCATCAGAACTGTTTACAACGTGACACGAATTGGAGCGAGGATTCCGAAGAAGCTTAGAGTTTCCATCTGGGTCGTTGGTGTGCGCAAGCAGGTTGATGGTTCAGATTGGCTATCGATCAGAAACATTTAAGATGGGCCATGAATTGCAACCATTGTGCGGGCATGCGAAATCAATAATAGTCGGTCACCATTTGTGGAGATGTATTGCCGTGCCTGCAATGTAGTGCTGTTAGCCAGCCCTCTTTTTCCTTCCTTTTGTGCTTTTTTTGCTTCTGCAGGGGCCATACTAACCTTCTTTGTATCGCTCCCATTTTAACGGATGTCCTCTTATCAACTGTATGTTCTATTTTTTTGGCGCCTGCGGGTGTTTCCGCTGGGCGCCGTTTTGACGCTGTAGGTGGCTGAGGGGTGTGCAACGGGTTGATCGTAGGCATCTACAGTGTTTGGCCATGACATTTGGGTGTCAGGCTTTCTGTACTTGTGGGTGTGTGGTGAGACGAGAGCAATGAGTGAGCTCAGTGCTCTGTTTCCTCGAAGGCTTTCTGTACTTGTGGGCGTGTGGTGAGATCGAGTGCATGTCAAAAGTGAGCTCAGTGATCTGTTTCCTCAAAGGCTTTCTGTACTTGTGGGCGTGTGGTGAGATCGAGTGCATGCTCTACAGGCAAAAGCGAGCTCAGTGATCTGTTTCCTCAAAGTGCGGTGAGACGAGAGCAATGACAAACACAAATTTGAAAAGGAGAAAAAAGAAAAAAATGGGTGTATCCTGGGCCACGTGCCGCATGGCCTAGTAACCTGGGTAAAATGGAAGTCCGCAAGAGCTAGCTCTTTCGGTCCGGTTGCACACCTGAGTTCCACTGGGAAGGTGCCAGGCTCGAGGCCCACTCAGATCACTCTCCCTGCCATTAACAAGATTGATATAGCCAGGACGAGTTGCACGTTTTGCAGCCCGAGCAGGGTCAGGAGCTCAACATTCACCTGAGGTGTCTGCCTGGTCTCAGGGGCTTGGCATTCTCCTGAAGGGTTGGCATGGAGTAGAAATCGACGTTCATCAAAAGGTTAGGAGAGACAAAAAGCCTGAGGCGGCAGTAAATGGTCGGAAGGACACAGTGTTGGCCCATCCGGGAGTGCATGTTATGCGTTCGAGCCGGAACGCTGATGGGGAGCTGTAGGACGGAAAACTGTCATGCACGGTTCGGAGAGCAGCAACTCTCCTCTGACCCCTACCAATTTTAGGTTTTGCTTCAGGGTTGCACCCCCGGACGGTCGGCGGCCATTGACTGGTCGGCCGCCGACCGGCTGACCGATTGGCCGGTCGGCCCTACTGGTCGGCTGCAATACGGTTGGCGGTCGGGGTCGGTGGTCGGCAGGTATGTGGTCTCAAATGGCGGGATTGGACCCGCCGGTGACGAACGGTCGCTGCCCCTTCGTAGAACCTGGCCCTAACTCACAGGGCCGAGGGTTTTCGGCTGTCAGGGGGGGGGGGGGTTAAACAGGGTTTGGACCACTAACCTGGTGATTAGCCAGGGTCACACTCACACTCAGATTAAGCAGGGTTTGAACCACTAACCTGGAGGCACAAATTGTTTGGTTAGATGAACTTAGATCGCAAGCAAAATGCATCTTGTGCATCCCATGAGAGGCGGTTAACGGTCGAGAGGCGGTTAACGGAGGCCTATCTTATATGGTTGGGATGTCTGGCATGCATCCATCGAGGCTTCACAGTCATACTTAGACTTCCGTCCCTGCTGTTTGTCTGCATCGGATATTGAAAATAGAAGTTGAATTAAAATTGGTGCCGGCCAATCGTGGTCAAAGTAAATTTCTCCAGATCGTTGCATTTTTTTTTTGTACATTATAAAAGAGGTATGTTGACATACATAAACAGGAGAATTTATTTTAAATAAGGGTGCCCTGTTTGTTTGATTGTCTACATTTGTGCAAGGAAGATGAGCGATAGCAAACTTCAGAAATCAAACAGCATCATACACATGAGACTAGATAGTCGTGACCTCGAACCAATAGCAGAATTGGATCACGAGTTTCACCAAATAACAGCACAGCAAAAGCTCATAAGTGACAATGCTGGAAAAATCTCGTCATCATCAACGAAGAACCAATGTTGATATCCTATCGGGCGCTCGGCGCCCAGACTACGAATGCCAGATCCTGTCTAGCCTAGACTACAATGCCGCTGATGACGTCAACAGCTTCCCAAGTACGAGCAGATCTCGGCCAATGCCGCACGCCTCAAGCACCAGGTATGTCTCTCGTATCACCCATAATCATTCCCCAACTCACAGATGCCACTTGCACCGAAGGACCACTGTGCGCCACATCCAGCATACAGCAGCGCAGCTCGGCTATGGCTGCCTGCTCCTTCCAGCTCGCCCGTGAGCGCGTGAGCGCTGGCAGCGCTTGCGCACAATGCAGCCAGTGCCCGAATGTCCAATGTGTAGGCAGGCCCTCCCCTATGTGGAAGTGGTTTGCTGCTGCGTGTGGTAGTGAGGTACTGTCCCCTGGCCCAGAAGCTTCCGGTAGGCCCCACGAGGCTGACCCTCAGTCCGAAGTAAACAGGCCCAGGGCCTGTGGTGGTTACCAGCACCCAACTGCCCTCAGCCTTTGTTCGGTCCACTTTGTGTATCCGGCCCAGGGCCTGCCTCAGTTACATGCAATGAAAGGCAGCCTGGGCCTGGGCACTTCCAACCAACTGGCGCTGCACAACTGCCTGAATTTCCCCAGTTGTGTGGTGACCCCAAAATGGCCTGTAGGGCCTCGGTCGTGCCTGCCTTCACTTAGGGCGGCCGACTGTGTGAAAAATAGGCCCTGTAAGGCATATCGAGGCCCTGTGCCTCGCATTTGCTCGATTTTATCGAATGGTTGCTGTTTGTGTAATGTTAGAATGGCATCGTTTCCTCGATTTCACGACCCTATTCTCTGTTGTGCATTCAGGAGAGTCACCCCAACGTAGTCTCTGCAATTCAGGGTCGCTGTCGTGTGGTGTGGAGGTCCGTGTCGTGCTCTGCTCTTCGTGAAGGCTTCTTCTGTGTTGAAGTGCACTTCATAATGTGCTCGTCACTATTGAACGCCGCCCCTTTGCGTAGACTGGGTGTATGGTGACGACGAGATATCTGTGGTTGGTTCTCCAGTTTGCTTTGTCCACTTTGAGCTGTGGTCAACTGAACCGTCGAAAACTCGAAACCTATGATCATCGATCGCTACTGCTTCTTATGAAGGGGAATTGGAGGCGGCGGTAGGATTAGAACTCCTGACCTGTTTGATCACGAGTCAAGTTGTGTATAGCACGGACAAGCGAGGAGGGCCACGGACGCAGAGGTTCGGCGCATTGAACTGGTTGAAGATAGCGAGTGTGCTGGGATGGGAGTGACTGGGCGTTGTCGTCGTTTGAATGATGGAAAGTGTGGATTGCTGCGCGTATAAGGTTGATGGTTTGAAGTTTCAAAAAAAAGGTTGAGCTTACACGATCTTGACAGTATCATCATGCTTTTTTGAATTGCTTGTCTGTGGTGTTGTGACCCTGGTGGATTTTGCAGTGCAAAGTTGGGTAGGGGCCTTACTCACATAAACGTTTTGTATAGATTTGCAGAGTGGAGGAGATCACAGTAGCTGGGACGATTGCTGGGAGCATTGTCCACTTTCAGAGAGCGAAGACAGTGACAGTAACACGAGATGGGGCACTCTCCTCGTCTGGGCGCGGTGAGTAACTATCAACTCTATCAGTTAATTGATGTGAGCAGTAGTTATGGTAGTAGTGATAATGTCTAATAATCTGGCAAGATTACCGGCCTGACCGGGCGACTCACCCGGGGAAGGTCTGCCACCGGGGTCACCCAGGCCGTGTGGGCCATTTCCCCCACCCACGAAGAGAAGTTGAGATCTGGGTTCTTTTTGTATTTTTCAGTGTCGTCCGTTGTTGGGGTAAAGGGAAGGTATAAACGGGGCTTTAAAGGGGCTTAAGGCGTGGTAAGGGGGGTGCCTTAGTTTGATTTTTTTTTTTGTTTTCCTTTTTAGGTTTGAAACTTTGAGTCAACAAGGATTCCTTAGGTGGCCCTCGGCCAAAGTTTTGCTATGAGCCCATGTACCTTGGTGCCGTCCCACCAGATACGTCATGTACATGTACCGGCCCAGAAAAACGCAAATCGCCAATGGCAATCACTGACTCAAATCACTCGCGAAGCACACACTTAGATTAGAGTAGGATTAGAGATTAACCCGATTCCACTTCTCCCTCCAACCTTGTTAAACAGCAAGTACATTGCCCAGGCAAACTTCAGGATTGAAAATGAGTCATTTCGCAAAGTTTGTATGGACATTGCTACCGGCTGCATGCGAGCCGCGCCTGGTGGGATGAACCGGCATGCGAAATGATTTGCCTAGATGTATCTTTTGTGATCCGGCGTGCTGCTGCATTCCGCCAAACGCGGCGCGGATGCAACCGCGTCTAACAAAAAATGCAGGGAAACGTACTGGCGGTTGAAGCTGGGTGTTTCGATGCAGACTAAACAGAGTACCATTTTGATGCAGTTCTTAGCGAGAAGTCATGTTTTTCTGTATCGCTGACTGATCAACGGATAAACCAGGGGTTGAACGGCTGACCTGCGTGGCTGTAATGTCTCGGAGTGGCTGTAACCGGGGTTTATGCCGCCCAGCAACATTGACTGCAAAGTTGGGGAACTTTCAGCTGTACATGAGTTGCTGCATTCTTTGGCTGGTTTGTTGGTTGTGCATGATGTACTTTGCCTTTTTTTCTTTTCCTTCGGTACTGATTCTGAGCGCTCGTTTTTGTTGATTCATTTCATTGAAACCGGTTCGTAAAATGCACACAGGATGCGGCAGAGGGGAAGGAGTCGGAAAGGGAGATACTTCAGTTTCTGGAGCAGGTGGAGGCGGAGGTCATGGCGGGAGAGGGGGTTATGGATGTTACAATGGAAGCAGGGGTGAAGGTGGTGGCGCATATGGCAGTGATAGACTCCCATGTGAGCTGGGCAGCGGAAGTGGGCTTTCCAGTTCAGGTGAAAGCAACAATGGAGGAGGTGTTATAGGTAAGCGTAACCTGCTTTTTTTTTTTTTTTAATGTGTGTATCCATCCATCCACTTTGCAGTGGACACCCAACATCTCATGATATGAGCTGACGGCAGAATTTTAAACCACCAGTTCACCCAGACCTATTTTGATGAACTAAAAGTTGCAATTGCCCGAACCTAAAACAGATGGGTACCAGCCTTTGAAAAAAATAACGTGGTACGGTGGTACCTGTACCGGTCTGTGTCACATCGTTGTTGTTGAACCTCAGGTGCAATAGAAGGTCGTGCCAATGTATTTTTTTCTCCACTTTTTAAGTTTTTATCTGGGTTACCAATGGTCTGGGGGCCGGTCGTTTCCCCCGAACGTCTCCCCCATACGTCCGGTACCCCCGTCGTCCGGGGGGAAAAGTTTTTTTTTTTTGTAATTTTTTTTTTTTTTTTTTTCGGTTTTCGATTTTTAACTCGTGATTGACTGCGAATTTGAACATGACTCCAAGGGAAAAGTTGCTTGTATTGTTATGTCACATAACATATATTTTTTTGCAGATTTTTCTGAGCACTCTTTTTT